TTAAAGCTTACAACTATTTATGTATGTTTAGCTTTGAAATAAAAATAAACTCAAAAATATATGAACATGATAAAACAGCAGTAATCTTGATGGTGAGAAGAGACATGGGATCAGCGAGGGATACAACGGGGAACTTCATCTCTTTCCCGGCAAATGTGAGAAAAATCTTAGATTTGATAAAGCTGTTTAATGGATAAAAGGGTATTTGTTTATATCATTTTTCTATACTTTATACATGTTTATAATATGTCATAATTTTTAAAAATAACTTTCCCAGCAAAATTTTCTTATTTTATGTTTAGGAATACATTTTCTATTGGTGAAGCTAATAAGACTGTAAAGCAAGAATACATTTAATTTCAATAATTAAGATATACTAAATTTGAGACCACATTCAGGGGTAATATTTTTCAAAGTGAAATTCCTCAAATTTAATAGATATTAAAAGTATAAGGAAAGCAGAGTTCATTCCTCTGCCAAGTGGAACAAACTAAGTATGGATCAATCACAGATGATGATGAATATAATTAACAGAAGTGACCTCTCAGGGATTGATAGGGATTGAGTGATGAACAGGCTTTCAGAATTCTAAGCAGCAGCCTACAAAATCATATTCTTTGAGCTTAAGTTTATTTCTAGCTGCTTGCCTCCAAGGAGCTTTGTCTCCTATGGACAGAGAAATATTAATACAACTTGAAAAAATGCTTTGCACTGACTCTGATAGTTGAATGTTCATCAGATGCTCTTTAATGGCCTTCCATAATCAAAAGGTATTTATTCTTTAACTTCAGGTGGTTCCCCTCTCTCAGCGAAGTGGTGTTCTTGAATGGTGCACAGGAACTGTCCCTATTGGTGAATTTCTTGTTAACAATGAAGATGGTGCTCATAAAAGATATAGGCCAAAGGATTTTAGTGCCTATCAATGCCAAAAGAAAATGATGGTGAGTGGCGCTCAAAATTAAAAGTTATCGCAAGATCATTTAATAGCTTATTAAAGCAGACTGCTGTCAAATATTATGGAATAGAAAAAGTTTTAATTTCATAAGGTAATTGTTAAAGGTACTAAGTAAAAGAAAGTAAGCTCACAGAATGAAAGTGTACATGAGTGAAAAAGGAAGGTTTTTAAACTACATGACATGTCAACCCTTGTCAGATGAGAAATTTAAATGTAATTCAGTGTGTGCTAATTTGCTTCCAATTTGTGGTAAGCTAATTCTTAACAAAACACAAATGTCAGGTGTGGTGGCATCAACCTGTAATCCCAGCCTACTTGAGCTGGGAGGATCACTTGAGCCCAGGAGTTCAAGGCCAGCCTGGCCAACAGAGTGAGACCCCCATCTCTTTAAAAACACAGAACAAAACAAAGCACTAACTAAAATAAAAAATAGATTATGAAGTAATTTTTATATGAAACTGCTATAGAGAAACTTCTAAGGCGTTTGCCATGTCATACTGGCCATCTGGTCTGACATTTATTCACTGATTCAGCAACATTTAATAAATGCCTCCTACTTACCAGGGACTATGTAGAGACTTCATAAATATTATGACTAATCATCATCATCCTTAGCCCCATTTTCAAATGAGAAGTTCATGCCGGGCACAGTGGCTCATGCCAGTTATCCCAGCATTGGGAGGCTGAGGTAGGAGGATTACTTGAGCCCAGGAGTTTAAGGTTGCTGTGAGCTATGATGATGCCACTGCACTCTAGCCTGGGCAACAGAGTGAGACCCTGTCTCTAAAAATAAATGAGCAGTTCAGTGTACTTAACTTGTGTAAGGTCAATGAGCTAATAATAAAGAGTGGAACAAGGATTTGAATCTTGTCTATCCAATTCCAAAATCTATTTACTGTTCATTTTATTGTGCTTTCTGTTTCCTGTTTTTAAAAATATGCAGTAAATGCTATAGGCATTGTGATGGAAGTCTGTCGAGAACACACAGGGTACAGTATAGGCATGGAGTAGGAAGTGGTTAGTTCTACCTGGAGTGGGGAGGAGTGGAAAGAATTAGATTCAAGAAAAGCTTCATAGAGAAGGTGTTGTAGCCAAATTTTACAAATGAGTTGTTTTTCAAGGCAAATGAAGCATACAAGCAAGGGGAAGGAGGGATGAGCAGGCAAAAACAGCATAGGCCTTTAAGGAAGAGTAGATAGATAAGATTGGAGCAGTAGTTTTTGGTCAAAAAGTGTAGAGTTGCTTTAGGAAACGCTAACAAGTTTGCACTTTATCCTGCAGACAAGACCCTTAAGAAGGATAGTAATATCAGATTTGCATTTTAGAAAGAAACTCAGAGCACTGTGAGTTATATTTTTAAGAAAGCATGAGTTGGGGTCTGAACTAAGACTAATAAGGGTAGGAATGGAGAATTGTGGGAAGATAGAAGTATTGAGGCAGAACTGATAGGATATGATTGCTGATTGGAAGTGAGATTGGGGAGAAGGAGTAGTCAGTGCATCCCAGTTTTCTGGTTAGGGTGACTGGGTGGATGGTGAGGCTATTTACTGAATTGAAGAAGAGAGGAGGTGACTGACGTTTGCCAAAGATGAAGAGGTATTTTGTTTGGATTTGGAAGTGATCCAAGTAAAGATATTGAGAGAGCAGTTGGAGAAGCACATCAGGCTAGAGCTTAATAAAGATATCTGGGCCAAAGGTACAGATTTCAAAGTCATCAGCACATAGATGGGAGTTAAGCTCATTGAGGTAGAGAAGCTTTGCTTCAGGAAGGTATTATATAGTGAGAAGATGCTGGAGGACAGAGATCTGAGACATGTCAACTGCCTCCATCAGGAATTCTTCATTCTTTCTCCTTTTCTGTTTCCTATTGCACCCCTAGTTCTGTGATGCCACCTGAGATTATCTGAAGCTACCTTTGGCATTTTTGTGTTTACTTCCATCTGGATTACAGGATCATTCACATTAGAATTTAATTAAAACAAGTAACAGTGATTATTTATTTATTTATTTTTTTGGGACAGAGTTTCACACTCTTGCCTGGGCTAGAGTGAGTGCCGTGGCATCATCCTAGCTCACAGCAACCTCAAACTCCTGGGCTCAAGCAATCCTCCTGCCTCAGCCTCCCTGGTAGCTGGGACTACAGGCACGCACCACCATGCCCGGCTAATTTTTTCTATTTTTTAGTTGTTTGGCCAATTTCTTTCTGTTTTTTAGTAGAGACGGGATCTTGCTCTTGTTCAGGGTGAGCAAGAACTCCTGAGCTCAAATGATCCGCCCGCCTCAGCCTCCCAGAGTGCTAGGGTTACAGGCGTGAGCCACCTCGCCCGGCCAAGTAACAGTGATTATTGTTGTGCCTCCTTCCCCTGAGATTAATATGAAAATTCTAAAGGGATTATCACTTATAATTTATCGCTTCCCTCACCAGACTATTAGCTTCTTGTGAATAAAGAATCTTGTCCATCTTTTTATTGCTCCAATATCTATCATTTTTTCATAAAGAAATGTAATGGACATTAGTTAAATTGGTTGAACACAATATTGAGAAAATAATTTTAAATATGATTTATTTAAAGGAGGTGCAAAAGAAGTCTTTTGAAGAGAAATATGAAACCTTCATGGATATTTGCCAAAATTTTCAACCAGTTTTCCGTTACTTCTGCATGGAAAAATTCTTAGACCCAGCTGTTTGGTTCGAGAAGCGATTGGCTTATACTCGCAGTGTGTCCACTTCTTCAATTGGTAATCTTCTTATACATCTTAGTAGATTCATTGCTTTCCTGTGTTCTGAGTTGCAGGGGCATGATGGTGATTATAGTGGTTTTTAACTAAACCATCTTCATCATTAGATCATTGTGTTTCTTGTTCATCCCAATTCTTAGCTTCTAACCATAGCTTTTTATAGCTTTTGCAAAAGAGAATTCTTCTCCAGGCAGGAAAATAAGACTGGTTTTTCTTCTTCTTCGTTTTATAGTGAATATGGCTTATTTTCTCTCCTTTCAATATATTACTTTTTGAGACTTTCCTGGGAAAATAATAAAACCTGCAATAACTCCATTTGACTTATTTCCTTTAATTATTATTGGTCTTTGACACAGAACCTCTATGAAACCATGATAATATCACCCAATGATTGATTCTGTTTAATAGAATTTTGTTTTCAGAATAGAAATCATGATATATATTTAAATACTTAGTGTACAACATATATTTTTGTTTTTTTTTTTTTAATTTCTAAGAGATTGGAATAGCTACGTAGGGCATTTAACAAAATCCTAGGGTATGAGAACTAATAGGAACATCAGAGATCATCCAATCTATTGGTTTTTAACTAAAGACAAGTCCTTCCATCATTTATGTCCCATACCCCTGGGAGGCATGTATATTTTGAAAAAGTTCCCAGATAATTGTGAAACTCTCTTCTACATTGAGGATCACTAATCTGGTATTAATTTAGCTTATAAACAAGAAAGTAGGCCTAGTTAATGACAGAGGAAGCCAGGCACCCAGGCATCCTGACTCTCTACTGAGTGCTTTTTTATGTAATATCAGATGGTGTCTCTCATTAGGTTAAAAGCACTGTAAGATACGTTATCTGTCTTAAAAACAGAAATGCAGTTTTTCCTGGATATATACATGGTGAAATGAATTAATGATTAATTTGTGTTAAATATAATTCATTAAGCAGAAGAAAGTTTCACTGAAGAATGAAGAATTTACCCATAGATTTCTCAATTTAGAAGTATACCAAATAAAAATTTGAGTAAAGATAATACACTGCCTTGGCCCAGGTAAATAATGGGTCTGAACTTTAACTATAATAATTTTCAAAGTACTAATATTTTTAAATGTGTGCCTATTAATAAAGAGAAAATATTTTCCAGCAAATCATTTAGGATTTGTAAAATGCAATATGCATGAAAATAGCTGGCAAGATTTGACTTAAAGTCAAAATGGCTAGTTATATACGTAATGTCCTTTAAGTCTAAAACTAATTAAAAATTATACTGAGTCAATGGTATTAGTTGAAATTATGGCTAAATGTATATTAGAAATAGAAGAATTCAGTGATTTCAGGTTTGTTTTTTTTCCCCAGTTGGCTACATACTAGGACTTGGTGATAGACATGTACAGAATATCTTAATAAATGAGCAGTCAGCAGAACTCGTACATATAGATTTAGGTAAGTAATAAAAGGTATATATCTTTATTCTGTTTAATAAATATTTGGTCATCAAGGAATGTTGCTTGCTTGCCAAGATATTACAAATATGGGGGAAATAGACACATCAGAGCGGTAAATATTGGGTGTTTTTTTGTTCTTTTTTTTTTTTTTAAAAAAAAAAGCATAAACAGTGGTACTAGAAGGAGTAGCTAATTCAGCCTGGAGTAATGAATGAAACTTACCAGAAAAGGTGACATTTGAGCCAGGTGTTCAAGAAAGAAAGGAAGGATAATCCAGAGAAAAGATAGAGCAGATTGGAAAGAAGGAGTAATTAAAGATGCAGGATGTTGTGAGAATAGTGAAACAGTAAATGTGGCTGAAGTAAAGTTTGCATGTTGTCAAGTAGCTTGAGAGATAGGATGGTACTAGACTGTAAAAAGCCAGGCTAAGGATTTCAACTCTAATATGTTACATGATGGAAAGTAGATGAAGATATATTTAAGCAGGACATGATCGTATTTGATTTTTGGAAAGCTGATTTCAGGGGCAATTTGTGGAGTATTACTGGCAGCAGAAAGACAAGTTAGGGGATATGATAATAGTTTTGATGAGAAATGATGAAGATTTCAGCTAAAGTTGTATTATGGAAACCAGGAGAGTGGATTTGAGGGACATTTTTGTAGTAAACTGCACCAGTGTGATATTAGATATGGAAACATTAGGGGAGGAGTCTCCAGCATAACTAAACCTTCTGGCTAAGGAATGTATTAAATTTTTTAAACAGTAACAAAATGGTGCATTTAGTTTTGCATATTACTTCAAAGTATTTATGGAGTGGAGTAGACAGCTTTTCCAGGTGGAGTAGACAGCTTAATATATAAGAAAGAAAAGAATTTGAGTGTAATAAGAGATCTAGAATCTTCAGCAAATAGATGTCAGTGGAAGTCATTGGACTGAAGGAGGTTCTGATCTTACCTTACATGTGATCCTTGATAAAGAGAACTAAGGATGGACTCATAAAGAATGCTAGCATTGAAAAGGTTGAGTCAGAAAAAAATTGAGAAGTAATCAACATCGTGGAAACTCAGAAGTGGGATATCTTGGAAGCCAAGGTAGGAAAAATTTTATGGAAGAAGTAGCTCAATAATATCTGATACAGAAAGGGCAGATAGGATGAATGATGACAATAGGCCTTTAAATTTAACAGTTAATCAATCTGAGAGGCCTAGGAAGTACCCTTTAGATAGAATGGAGGGACCAGATTGCAGAAAGGCAAGGATTGAATGGAAGTTAAGGATGTGTAGATTGAGAATGAGGAGTCGTTCTGCATGAAGGTTAGAAGGGAAGGGAAGGATGGGAGAGATTTGTTGCAGAGATGAGAGACATGCCCTTGGTCCTTGCTTTTTGAAGATGGGAGAAGTGTAAACATGTTAAATACTGAAGAAGATGTAGGAGAGAAACAAGATAATTGAAGTAGCAAGGGAAATCATAAAGTATGTGAGGGTATAGTAGCATTGGCTTTAGATTGGAGGCATGTTAGCTTTTCTGCTGAGAAGGAAAGGATGATGTTAATAGGAAAGTCTTAAGCTAGGGGGAAGGAATTTGTAGGAAGTTATATTTGCTATTCTGTTTTCTCTGTGAGTTAGGAAAGCATGCTCATCTGCTAAGAATGGTAGGGATTTGCTGGGCATGGTGACTCTAGCCTGTAATCCCAGCACTTTGGGAGGCCAAGGCGAGAGGACCAAGTGAAGCCAAGGAGTTTGAGAGCAGCCTGGGCAATATAGTGAGACCCTGTCTCAACAAAAAAATTGTAAAGAAATTAGCCAGGCATGGTGGCATGCGGCTATCCTAGCTACTGGGGAGGCTGAAACAGGAGGATCATTCAAGCCTAGGAGTTTGTGGTTACAGTGAGCTATGATAATGCCACTGCACTCTAGCCTGCACGACAGAGCAAGACTCCTTCTCAAAAATGAATAAATAAATAGAAATAAAAATTTAAAAATGATAAAAGAATTATTTATGGTAATTAGCCTTAAAAGAACAATAAATTCTAAAATAGTTACCATGGAAATAAGGTGACCCAACTAAAAGGATAAATAAAAAAGACTTGCCAAGCAATTTAAGGGGCACTTTCCTGAGGTGACAATTCTAAATCTGTAGTGGAGCCTGTAATGTCATCATGTGATTTTCCAGTAGTCCTCAACATCCTTGGTGTAGTAGAGAGAGAGGGGGACAAGGAGATTTGAAGTACTGGTGAGAGTAATCAACTTTAAAGTCTATATCCCTGGCTGAGTAGGGAAGGAAGAGAGGCTAATGGACTAGAAATCTCAATTGAATTCAAAGACTCCTTAAGGGCCGGGCGCAGTGACTCACGCCTGTAATCCTAGCTCTTTGGGAGGCCGAGGCGGGTGGATTGTTTGAGCTCAGGAGTTCGAAACCAGCCTGAGCAAGAGCGAGACCCCGTCTCTACTAAAAGTAGAAAGAAATTAATTGGACAATTAAAAATATATAGAAAAAACTAGCCAGGCATGGTGGCGCATGCCTGTAGTCCCAGCTACTTGGGAGGCTGAGGCAGGAGGATCGCTTGAGCCCAGGAGTTTGAGGTTGCTGTGAGCTAGGATGATGCCACGGCACTCTAGCCCGGGCAACACAGTGAGACTCTGTCTCAAAAAAAAAAAAAAAAAAACTGCTTAAGAATAAAGGAGCAGAAGGAAAAGAGGTTTTGATTAGAATGTAGAATTTAAGATGTCTCAGAAGGTGTGGTTTAGAAGGTTACAAGTTCTGGAGTGTAACTCATATAAGTAGTTTGCTAAGATAGAATAAAATTGAATCCATTAGAACAGAAAGGTCAAGGATATTATATGGTTTTCCCTAGAATGAATTCCGGAGTTGGGACAGTGAGAAAGATTATGAGCTAGGTCCATGTCAACATTCAATGAGTTCGAGATTCAGTCTTAGACGTTAGGATATAATATATAGAAGATGGGAGGGGTTTGTTAGAGCCAGAAGATGGGAATCTCAATAGAGGAGTGAAATTTTACACAAGAATGAAAGGGCAGCTGTCTCGAAGATGCAAAATAGAGGTAATATCATACCAACCTATGTCTAGGTCATACTAAAAGCATTTATAAATGAGAAGGGTAAATCAGCACAACCTCTTTGGAATACTGTTCGGCATTATAAAGCTCAACGTGTGCTTATCCTGTGGCCCAGCAATTCCACTCCAACAGAATGCACACATATGTATAAGAATGTTCATAGTAGTACTGTTCATAATAGCCCATAACCAGAAACAGCCCAAACCTCCTCACGGGTAGAATGGATGAACAAATTGAGGTGTTCATATTCTCATTGTATATGCAGTAATACTCAATGAACAATAGTTACACACAACATGGAAGACCCTTACAAATATTATATATAATGCTAAGTGAAAGAACACAGATACAAAAGATATACACAGATATAATTCCATTTATATAAAATTCAAAAACTGATAAAATTAGTGGTATTAGAAGTCAGAGTAGTGGTAACCCTTTGAAGAGGTGGTGAGTGACTGGTAGGGGATGAAGAGGGCTCCTGGATTGCTGGTAGAGTTCTGTTAACATGGATTTGCTTACTTCGTAAAATCTCAGTGAGCCACATACTTGGATGACTTGGATGATTTGTATACTATTCTGTGTCTATATCTTTGGTTATCTGTTGCTGCATAACAAACTACTCCAAAATTTAGTAGCTTAAAACCATAGTTTATTATTGTTTCCCGTAGTCTGTAGGTTAACTGGGCTCAGCTGGGCAGTTCTCACTTAGGATCCCTTATGAAGTTGCAGGAACTAGAGTCATCTTAAGACTCAACTGGGCCAGAGTCCAAGATGGGTTCACTTTCATATCTGTTGCTTCAGTGCTCCTCCATGTGGCCTCCCTGTCCAGCACAGTATCTTGGACTTACACAGCATCTCAGGACTCCAAGAGGAAGGAAGTGAAAGTTAAGGGCTAGACTTGCAACTGGCACAGTGTCACTTTCATCACATTCTGTTAGTCATAGAATCATCATAGGGCCCATCTGAATTCTCCCCTATTTCTGGAACTCCAATAACCATATGTTAGACCTTCCCACTGTATCATTTATGCTGTTCCCTGCAAGTCTATATTTTCCAACCTTTTTTTTTCTCTCTAGCCCACCCCTTGGTGTTATTGGAGACTATCTGGGGAGCCTGGGCTTCTAGTCCTACACAGAGCAGGGAGTCCTTTCCCTCTGAGGTATCAGTGGAGGCCAATTGGGGAACCTGGTCTTCTACCCCCACCTAGTAGTAACAAGCCAGTGACTTTCAAGGGCAGCAAAAGCAGAAGTTTAAGTAAGATCCAGGGTCTCATAATACTTAAAAAGTCTAGGTTTCAATTGGAAATCATTGATCATACCAAGAACAAAGAAAATCTCGACTTTAATGAAAAATGACACTTTATAGGCACCAACACTGAGATGACAAAAGATGTTAGAATTATCTGACAAAGATTTTAAAGGAGCCATCATAAAAATGCTTCAAGGAGCAATAACAAACATGGAGACAAATGAAAATGTAAGTGTCAACATGGAAGTAATCTCAGCATAGAAATAGAAGATATAAAGGAGACCAGATGGAAATTTTAGAACAGTAAATTGAAATATAGTAATTGAAATCAAAAATTTTAATGGCAGAGAGGACTGAAAGAAGAATCAGTGAACATGAAGACAGAACAGTAGAATATGAAAAACAGAGAAAAAAATTATAAGAAAATCTTAAGCACTTAGGGCTAGACAAAGAGTTCTATACTTAATGCCAAAAATACAATCCTTAAGAACTCTCAAAACTTAATAGAAAAAAAAAATCCAGTTATAAAATGAACAAAATGCATGAAGAGACATTTCACCAAAGAAGGTATTCAGATAGCAAATAAGCATACCAAAAGATGTTCACCTGCACTACAAATGTGTATAGCACTTTTATTCATAATAGCCAAAAACTGGAAACAATCCACATGTCCCTTAATGGGCAGATGCTTAAACAAACTATGTTAACATGCATACCATGGAATACTACTCAGCAATAAAAAGAAATAAAATTATTAATGTACACAACAATTTGGATGAATCTCCAGAGAATTGACAATGAGTGAATAAAGCTATTCCCAAGAGGTTACATACTGTATTATTCCATTTCCAATTATATACCATACTTGAAAAAAGAAAATTTTTATAAAAATAGTGAACAGATTAGTGGTTGATAGAAAAACAGAGCATGGGAAGATGATAGGCCATCGGAGGGAAATAAGTGTGGTTATAAAAGGGCAGCATGAAGGATTGTTGTGATGGAAGTGTTAAATATCTAGACTGTATCATTGTAAGTATCCTGGTTGTGATAATTGTGCTATAGTTTTGCAAGATATAATCTTTGAAGGAAAATGGGTAAAATGTATGTGGGATGATCTTTCTGTATTATTTCTTAGAACTGCAAATGAATATATAATTATCTCAAAATTAAAAGTTTCAGTTAAAAAATGTTTAAAAATATATATGTATCATCTCCATTTTAGATATTACCAGTCATTGCTTCGTTTAGAAAGTCATCCTTTAATCTAGATTTCTCTACATCAAGAAGTGTTTTGGATTTGAGGTGAATCTCATGGATAATGGTGGAGATAGACAAGGCAGACAGAGCCTTGAAACAGAGCCTAGAAACAGAATAAACTACTGTGCGTTGTAATATTAATAGAATATAGGGGACACATTATTTGTTGCCTTTGCAAAGTTCATGTCAACTGGAAAGAAAGTAAATTAGCTGTCAAACCTAATAACCTCATTGTATTTTTTACTTTAGGTGTTGCTTTTGAGCAGGGTAAAATCCTTCCTACTCCTGAAACAGTTCCTTTTAGACTTACCAGGGATATTGTGGATGGCATGGGCATTACTGGTGTTGAAGGTGTCTTCAGAAGGTAAGTGATAACAAGGTAAGGGAGGGGAACAATTTTTGGTATAAAAATTATATGGATTATAGATTTGTATAGATTATAGAATTCAGTGCTAGAATTACATCCCAGTGCTTTACCAGTACTAAGGAAAAGACCCTGGGTAAGAGCAATAATAGTTTACCCTTCCTTCCAGCCACCTGGGACCTAACCCAATATAACATACATACTTTCTAATCTCTTTTGGAAACAGCCCACCTGGGCCTTTAACACCTCTGTCCTGGCTAACTCCTTTTTAATGATCAGAACTATTATTGGGTGCTCATTGTTGGGGATATAGCAGAGACTATATCTTTTTGTCTTAAAAAACCTTATATTCTGTTACAACTTCCTACTAAAGAAAGCTTTGCAGTTCCTTGTAGTTTTTCTGGCATAAGTCTATGTACTCAACTTTTATTGGGGCAGATTCCAAAGTAAACTATAATTGCCATAATAATAAAAAACCTGAAAGAAAGAAATCTTTTATAGTAATATAGTGTTATTCTTATAAATGCTAAGTTTGTGAAATATTCACATATATATTTGTATTCATTTTAAACATCTATTGAAAGCCCACTCTGCCAAGTATTCTGTTCTTTGAGATTTAAATTTTGAAATTATTAACAAGAGCAGCCTCAGCATACTACACATGAGTGGATATAGATAAAGATACATTGAAAACTTTGGTGTGTAACAAAATCCATATTTTTAATGTGTTTGACTCTGTAGATGTTGTGAAAAAACCATGGAAGTTATGAGAAACTCTCAGGAAACTCTGTTAACCATTGTAGAGGTAAAGTATATTATAAGTAAATGTTTATTTCTCTACAAGACAGTGTATCTTGTTGGGAAGTTACCAATTAGGAGAGCATAGCTTCATTTTAATGTGATGGGATGATGTTGGTCAGCAGGAGGGAGGAGATTGCACACTAAGCCTTTTCACACATCAGAAAATATTGGTTTATAAATTTCTCCAGTCCCCTCAGGTTACTTGGAATATTATAGCATTGTTAGTAGTCTCCAGTCTTTAATGCATAAATCAACACTTGATGTCTTAAACCTCCTCTATGGTATTATTATTTTACGAATGGTTTCCATTAATGGTTTAAGAGAAATCAGTTACTTATATCCCCTTTTTCCCTGACCAGGTTCAGAACTAATTAGTCAAACAGATGGAGATCAGAGTGTCAGCATTGTTACTGGAGGACCATGGCTTAGGAGAGTGAGGGCCAAACTGGTTTGCTGCTGGTGCTCCCTCAGTGCCTCTGTTGTCTTAACCTTGGGACAGCTCACCTGAGTCAGGGTTGGGGCCTGCAGAGCATACACACTTTAATTGGGATCACTGCCTCATGTTGATCCTGGTTGGAAAGGGAAGGAAGTCAAACATACTTCCAGTGTTTATGCTGTTAGTTCTACCCAAGTGAGAATTACGTACCTGTGGCAGTCATTCACCAACATGGTAAGGGTCTGTGGAATAACAAATCAGTAGTGTTTCCTCCACAGGGAAACGTGGCAAATAGAGAACAGAATAGGCATGCCTCCCTTCCGTTCTTCAGCTTTTTGTTCCTTTCACCTGATGATGTTGGACCTGGCTGCACATTAGTATTATTTGGACTGCTTTTTGAAAATATTGATGCTGACCAAATTCAAACCAAATTTCTAGGGATGGGGCAGGAATATTTATATATTTTTTAAAGCTCTTCTCTGGTGCAGCCAGGGTTGAAACCAGTCTTAATTCATTAGCATTAACCATTAAGCCTATGGTCAAAAAGGGTGGGGCTTTGTCCCTTGGAAGATGAAATTAACAGCCTGTTAGGGTGGGCTTGTGTCCACCTTTGTGAACCAAGGTGTCTTTATAGATCTCCTTTGGACTGCTGATGGTAATGCAGATTTTGCTGCAAAGAGGGGTGCTGAAATAGGTCCCAATAGTATGCTGATAAAATTAAATTCAAGACTGCTGTTCCCAAGGCTGAAAATGCATTCCCTCTCCTTTTTCTCATTTCAAATTATGTTCATACATGTTGTCATTCATTATAGTTTGTCATTGGTTCTTCAGTAAGAATAAATGATAACATGGATGCCTCAATAATGTAGAAATGAAACTCTAAAATCATATTATCCTGCCCTTTTGCATTTAGAACAAAAAAAAAATCTAAACTTTTCAATTGATTTAAGGTCCAAAGCAGTTTAACACATTCCTCAGTATTTTACTTTGCTTAGTCTCAGTCAGAAGGGCTTTTTATGCTGCAGTAGATTTGGAAGTTTCTTTAGTAGCTGTATTCTTAACACTGACCAGAAGAGGGTAGTTCCTTTGGGGCCTCAGAAATTTTATCAGTTGAATGCCAAATTGCTCACGAACCTCATTCTTTTAAGGGTGATAGGAGATCAAGTTAGAGAAGTGACAGTGTCAGATCATCTTTGGGCTCCTGCACCATTGTAAGGACCTTGGATTTACTCTGAGTGAAGGTTTTGAGTCTGAGAAATGATTTGCATCTCCACTTACAATACCTGTGTCACTTCTGAACACACCCTCTATAGCTTTGTGTATTTTACACTGATCTGCCTGATCTTCCCTTTGTCAATCTGTCCAAATTTCCTGAAATCATTTGATATGGTTGTCCCCATTTTTAAGAGTAATTTCCCAAGTGATCTTACTGTGGACTTTCTGTCTTTGGCTTCTGGAGGGCGCTTCCCAGTAGTGTTCTGGGTCCCAATCCCCTGGGATCTCATTTCTCTCCTCTCTTGGATTCATTTCTTTTCCTCTGTTAGATTTCATTGAGTCACAATGACATTTTCTGATCAAGTAACAATTTAAACATCTCCCCATTTTGGGTTGTCACAACTGGGGGAGGGGGATGAGTGCACATTGACATCTACTGGGTAGAGGCTAGGGATGCTGCTAAACATTCTGCAATGCACAAGATAGCCCCCACAGCAAAGAAGGATCCAGCCCGAAAATGTTGAGATTGAGAAACCTTACTTAATCAGTCTGTATTCTTTTATTGCTTTCAACCACTTCTGTTTTGATAGTAAAACTGTAGCATATTTTTTTAATTACTCTAGTTCTTCCTTGATTCTAGTATTTACAAATAGGATATCTGACAGAAGCCCCTGGTTTTGAAATAATTTGTATTGTTTCTCTACTTCAACCCAAGAAAACCATATAGTCTCTTTATAATAGAGGCCTCCATTCCTTTTCATTGGTTCATTAATAAAATATACTTCCCTTTTGTGGATGAAACTGGTTTGGATCTCTGAAATCTAAAGCCATGCCAGTGCCCAACTTGAAGTCACATAGGAACCCTTGAGCTTATAAACAAGCCATTTGTAATCCAAGTCAGTACCTCCACAGTTTTTAGTGGCCTTGAGGGACACTCAACAGCATTTAGAAACAAAGATTTTGGTACTGCTGTTGGAGTACATGTACTGGAATTAAACATGCTAAAGGTATTTTATAGTCCCAGCCTGCACATGTGCTGAGAAACACTTTACTGTGTAAAGGTAGTTCCAACCTTGTAATACTGGAACAGCCTGTAGAATCATTCTTCTCTGTAATTAAGTTTTCGCTTACTAAGACTTATATGTTAAGCATTTACTAAATCTTATTTTTTTGTTAATTTGTTTTTTAAGTTCTGTGCTTGTAAACACCAGGACAGTTAGTTGTTCTGAACTGTCAACATCAGAAATCCCTTATGACCTTGCTTTCTAAAGCCACCTGCACTGGCCATGCCAGTTATTTTGGTATCCAAATTCTACTTATATACATCTCAAGATCCCAAACACAGCACCAGACCTTGGCTTTTGAGCATGTTTCAATAAATTGTACCCTGTTTTCTCACCCAAATTTGGAACTGATTGAGAGAAAGAAAGAGAGCCATAGTAGTAGGGGAGAGATCGGAATGTCAGGTTTATTACTGATGAAACTATCAGAGAACATGGCTAAGGAGAGAGGTCCAAATGGACTTGCTAGTACTCTCCAACTCCCACAGCCTAATCTATACCTTGGGATGGGACAGCCCACCTGAGGAAGAACTGGGGCCTGCAAAGCAAATGCCCTACCCTAGGACTACACTGGTCAAGAATAGAGAGAGGAGGAAAGAAATTAACTAATGCTCACCTCCTTTTAATAGATTAGTTTCACCCAGTCAGGAAACATGAGTCAAGGGATGTCACCCCCCAACCATGGAAGAAGAATGAATTCGGGGTGGGGAGGATGAGAAGCTTGGAGCGTTATGCTAGGATAGTTTCCTTCACAAGGAAGCATGAAGCATGTATTTAATATGATAAGTTTTCTTCCCCTCTCATACCCCATCAACTACATGTGACTGGCCTCTGTTATTTTTATAATACAGGTTCTACTGTTTCTAAATACATGATCAAAGTGTACATTGTTCTATTTATACATACATTCTCTCTATTTAGGTCCTCCTGTATGATCCACTCTTTGACTGGACCATGAATCCTTTGAAAGCTTTGTATTTACAGCAGAGGCCCGAAGATGAAACTGAGCTCCACTCCACTCTGAATGCAGATGACCGAGAATGCAAAGGAAATCTTAGGTGAGCAGTGTTTTAGGAAGGACCTATTGTCTGTCAGTTCATATTTTCTTATTTCCCAAGGCCCTTTAAGCTGTTCACCTCATTGAAACCTTTGTGCTTTTGTCATTAGTGATATTGACCAGAGTTTCAACAAAGTAGCCGAACGCGTCTTGATGAGACTGCAAGAGAAACTGAAAGGAGTGGAAGAAGGCACTGTGCTCAGTGTGGGTGGACAGGTGAATTTACTCATACAGCAGGCCATGGACCCCAAAAATCTCAGCAGACTCTTCCCGGGATGGAAAGCTTGGGTGTGATCTTCAGCATATGAATTACCCTTAAATTCAACTTTTCGAAATGTGATTTCAGCCTTCATTTTTAACCCACCCATGAACTTTGAATAGGGATTAATATTTAACTAAGTGAACAACTGTGAGGTTTTTTTTCTAATTGATTTTTTAATACTTGATTTAATCACTACTCAAGATGCTTTGAGAGTTTTGAGGAACATCTCTGCTCTCACTCTTTAGAAATAATTGTTATTCATGCTATATTCTAGGCTAAATGTTTATTTCTTCTTTTCAAATACATACTTGTATTGTTTTCAGTAGGATCTCTGAGTTATGCAATAGCTGAAAACAATGGAAGTAGCAGGAGTGACAGTTTTTCCTTTAGTATGAATTAGAACAAACAGACTGCTCCCTTGAGGTGACATTTAATTTAAACTTGTTCCCCAGATATCATATGTGTATGATAAATTATTTGATAATATAAGAAAGGAAAGAAAAACTTTAAAATTGTAACCATCTGTATATCATGGTAAAGCTACATTAAAAATAAGAAACAATGTTGAAAACAAAATAGTATTTAAGAAAAGCATTTGGATTTTCAGTAGTAAGATCACTCACAGTGTTACTAAATAATGAAGTTGTTATGGAGATCAAATTTCAGAAACACAGTTTAGTTACTATTTTTTAAAAATGTATTTTGGAGGTTCTCATTCTATTCTCTTTATCTTTTAAGCCCTTCTGTGTCGTCCGTTACTTTATCTTTCTGAGATGCCTTCGTATATTGTCTTTTAGTTCATGAATTCCCTTGTCAGCTGTATAAACCTCCTTTTTGCCCTATTTGGGTTTTCTCTTTCAAAAATTGTTTTTCATTTCTAATTATGTATCATTCTTCAACTTTTTAATTCCTTTTATGTCACTAATCATTTTAAATATCCATATTTTATAGTCACTCCAATAGTTCTGTTAAATCAAGTTCCTGTTTATATCTGTTGATTGTTATATTTGATGAGCTGTTTGTCCATTTTTGCCATTTTGAAAGGTGAGCTTCTTTTTGGCAGGGCTTTATCTGTGAGAATTTTGAGTGACCTGCATCATTATTCCTTCCAGATAAGTTTTGTGTCTACCTGTGTCATATTCCCAGGGTTGTTGCTGACACAGGACCACTCTCATTTTAATTTCTTGGCTTTAGGGTTTCCAGACCTCAAGAGTAGCATAAATTACTGAGAGGAGAAGATTCTCCCAGGCTAAGGCTTCCTCGTCATCTCCCTGTGATAGGGACAGGATGTTTTACTGATGCCTCTTTCACTAGGATATAATCCTCCATGTGCCCCACCTTTATGGTGAGGATGGAAGGAGGTGCATTTAATTCCTATTCTCTGCCTTTTGTGAGTTCAAGGGTTTTTCAGCCTCTATATAAATGTTAAAGCTGAAACCCATGGGTTATTGAGATTGACAAATTGTGCCAGGACAGCATCAGCTTACACATTTATCCCTATGAATTTTAGTTCCCTTCATTTTTGACCCTAAGTATTTCCCCTTGCTTTCTAATAAATTCTGGTGTGTACTTAAAACAATGTTTCTTAAATTTAATTCAGCATTTCTATGTGTTTTGTTGGAGGGGAAGGGTTTAGGTATCTAGTATGGTACATGTAGCTGGAAATGGAACAATTTTCTATCCCTCATGCTGTCATCACAAGAGATAAACATCAGATAAAAGACTACTTCAAAGTAAAATGACTGATTTATGTGTTAGTATAATCTCTCCTCCATGCTTAGGAAAATATTCATCCCAGCTGCAGAGATTAAGAAATGGGTGGATGAACTTTCCCCTTATTTGTAGCTTGAAGGTTATATAAACACTTTTTTATGCATAGTTGGTATGTCTTTCTACTGCCAGTGGCAAGCACTTGCTCATATCTGATCTCCCTACCTTGTCCTCCCCCAAAACCAATCTCCAGAACTTTTTGGACTATAAATTTCTTGGTTTGATTTCTGGAGAACTGTTCTGAAAGTTATTTTGCGTTTCGAATTACAAACTTGTCTTGATGTATCTTTTTCTTAAAAGCTACCTAAATGAATATTTGGTCTAAGTATAGTTTTATTACTGTCATAAATCAAAGGAATGCAATAAATTTAGAATATCTTTAAGAAAGCCTTGAAATCTTCATGGATGGTATTAGAAATTATCAGCTAGATGATAGTATAGTTAAATGAATTCGCAGCTAATTCTTGCTAGTTGATGCATCCAAAGAGGTTTGCATAACATCATTAATCTGCTCTTTAGTTTTGAATGGTGTGCCATAAGGCCCCTGTTCTATTCAAACGTTCTTATCAATGGCTTCGAAAAATTTGCCAAATTTGCATGCAGATAACAAACCTAGGAGAAATAGCTGATTCACAGATGACAGAATTAAGATTATAAAAGATTTGACGTGCTGGAACACTGTCTGGAAATGACTAAGATAGAAAATTACCAGGAACAAATCCTTACATCTTACAACAAAACCTTGCAAGATTAGTGATGTTATCCCAATTTACAACTGGAGAAAGCAGTGTAGAGACATAAGGTAACTTGTCCAAGGCCAGAAGATAGTAAATTGTAGGTACAAGTACAATATGGACAATCTCTAATTTGAAAAGATTTTCAGGTGAAAAGAATCTGAGGTTCACCAGTTAGTTGCTCACAAGGTCAGTGAAAACCAAATAGAGAACCTGCTAGAAAAGCTAATAAATTGTAGACTGCTTTGATCAGTCATTGTCCAGATTAAGGGATATAATAGCCCTCCCTCAATGCTCTGTGCTGGTCATACCTCTCCAAAGTAGTATATACTTAAAATGTATGCACTTAGAAATGCTAAAAATTTAAATATGGTCTAAAGCAAATAAAAGCAAAGAGGAAAAACTTTGGACATCTTAAAGATTAGAATAAGCTAGTCTTTTAAAAAGTAGAAAGCCGCTATACTGGTTTGAAATGTAGAGATGCATGCCATTTCAAGTATTTTAATTGTACTTTAATGAATTTATATATTTTGTATAGACTTATTTTAATACTGTTGAATGTATTTCTTTCTACACTGTTACCTGAATTTATTATAAAATGTTTTTGAATAAATAACTCTAAAAGAAAATATTTGCTAAAATTTATTCACTGTATGCCAGGCATGGAGCTAGTTCCTAAGGAGATAGCAGTGAGCAAGGCAGGCATATCGTGTCTGTATAGAGCTCCCACTCTGGGGAGGACAGGCAGCTGATTGTGTAGTGTGAACTGGGGAACCTACTGCACAGACCAGTATGATATGCTGAATCTCTGTCTAAATATTTTAGTAGTTTCTCTTAATTATCTCCTGACAAAGAGGCAAAATGAATGTTCTTTCTCTGGGCCTAGAAAGTTAACATATCTAAAGTTTAAAAGATCTGTGCTGAAATATGGTAAGTACAAAGATCCTAATATCCTAAATGTGAGGTTTGCTCTCCATCTATTTGTCATTTTTTTAATTAAATAAATTCAGTCCTTCTCAGAGTTTGAGGCTCTTTTACCTAGTTTTTGACACAATGAATTTTGCACAAATACAATGGACACAGAATTTTCACAAAGATTATAATGATTTATAATTTGGTAAGTAAGGTGAAGATCTCCTGTAATAGAAATTATCCACTGAAAAATCCCTTGCTTTGCCCTTAAAGTATAGCATACATACTTTTATGTACAGCAATATATGAAAATATATACTTTCATAATGTTCAATTAAAAAGCAATGGTTCTCAACCAGGAGTGATTTTGCCTCTTCAAAATATTTTCAAAATAAAATTTGATATTTTCAAAATAAAATTTTTGATACTCACATGGATACAAAATGGCATCATGTCTCATTTTAATTTGTACCTCACTAATTACTAGGGATATTAAACTTTTTATAAATATTTATTACTCAGTATGATTTTTCTCTTTGATGAATTGCCTCTACATATTCTTTGTCAATCTTTCTACTAGTCCTTTGTTGGTTACTGTAAGGTTTTCGGTGGTGGAGAGACCAGCGGACACAAGGACACAAGTTATGGCCAAATAAGTGGCTTTATTAAAGTATTCCTGGGCGAGGTTTACAGGTCCTAAGGTCAGGGCCTGAGAAGTTGTACCGCCCAGGACTGAGGCAGGGTTTTTATATGTGGGGTGAAGGGGGTCTTGGAACATTTAGGTAGGATGTGGTTGTTTGAAGCCTGGGGACTTAGTCTGCAGCAGCTGGGTCGGGCAGGAAGCCGAGCTCAGGGTGCTCAGTCAGCGTAGCTGTTTTTTGCCACTCATAACAGGATGCGGTCTGGCCCTGGCTGCAAGCTAACAGGGAAGGGGCCCGGGGCTGTCGTTGCTGTGCCTGTGGGGGTCTTTTGGCCAGTCTTACAGTTACATAACATCTTTTCCCATTTTGTGGCTTGTCTTTTCATTCCCCTAATTGAGGTTTTTTTGGTTCGTAAATGTATTTATCACTTTTTTCATTTATGGTTAAATCTTTCAGGTAAAGATTTTCCCTTCTATTCCTATACCTTCTTTAATGTCACTCAATTAAGTTTTAGTTTTCCTTATAAAGATCTTGCATAATTTTATTACATTTATTCCTAGGCACTTTTTTAAATGTTCTTATAAACAACATTTTTTCATAATTTCTTCCTAGATATTACTGGTATTTAGAATTAAAATTAGTTTTTGATATTGATTTTTCTATCCAGTAATCTTGGTAAACTCTCTTATTCTTTCTAGAACTGTATCTGGATTCATTGGATTTTCTATGTATATAATCATATCATCTATGAATAATTTCAGATTTCTAATTATTTTATTGTTTGCTTTTTTTTCTTGCCTCATTGTGCTGGCTAAGATCTCTCTTTAGTACAGTGATCAACAGAAGTGGTAATATTGGGACATTCTAGTCAGGACTACTGTGCCCTGGTCTCAAAGGTAGAAGTTTTAGTGTTTCACTATTAAATTTGCTGTTCGCTGCAGGGTTTAAGTTTTTAGTTTTTTTTCAATGTATGTATTTCCCTTATCAGATTAAAGAAGTTCCTTTCTGTCCCTAGACTGCTGTGAGGTTTTATCACAGATGGTGAATTTTAACAGTTTAACTGCACTTACTAAGAGTGATTATTTTCCTTGAATCTGTTAATATGGTGAATTGCACTGTTTGATTTTCTAAGGTTAAATCATCCTGATACTTCTAGTATAAACCCAACTTGGTCCATTCTATTGCTTTCTTCTGTCTGCTAAG